ATTTTGGAACAGCTCTGAAGAGCCTTAGCTCTTAGTGGGATAGCCACGGCCACTGCTGCTTCACAGTCACTTGCTCCGTCTGCTCAATCACACCTTTCACACTTTCTTACAGGTGCTTTTCGTGAGTGTGATTTTAATAAACCTCTTTGACACAAATCTCCATTTTGGAGTCTGTTTCAAGGGAACCTGATTTAAGATAAAGCCCTATGACAAGAAAATGAAAATCTGGGGAATGTGGACAATTTCCTATGAAAAATAAATTACTGGAAAGGGATGCTTATTTTCACCATTCTCATGTTTCTGAATAAACTTTACTGAGGTGTAATTTTAATGAAAAAAATGCACCCCTTTTAAGTGCACAGATTGATGAATATTGACAAATGTGTACATTTCTATAACCATCACCACAATCAAGATACAGAATATTTCCACCACCCCAAGAGGTTCCCTTGTGTTCCTTTCCAGCCAACTCCCACTTTCCCACTTCTGGCCCCAAATAACCACTGATCTGCTCTCTATTGTCATAGATTAGGTTTCTAGAGTGTGCACAGTATGTACTCTCTAACATCACACTTCGGTCACTTCGCACAATGTTTTTGAGATTCGTTCCTCTTTGTCACAGGGCTTTCCTCCTCTTTCCCTTCTCTCAAGGATCATAGTCCTGCCCTGCGCATGGTCTGTTTACTAAAAACAGTTGTCTCATGTGTTTTGTCTAGTTTTGTAGTTCTTTCGAGCATGATGATGACTCCGATGTCTGTACTGTTCATGGCTGAAAGTGGAAGCCCTCGCCATACTTATTGAATATTTTCTTACATGTTGTAGAGAACACGCTATGAAAATAAAAAGGAATTAAATGGTTTAAATATAGATACGAAGGAGGTAAATCTGTCTCATTTGCTGATGTTTCGTTTATCTAAAAAACTCGAGGGACTTGAACAATATTTTACACAGTAAGGGAATTTGGTAATTTGCCTAAATATAAGATAAAAACATAACATTAATTTGTTTTCATTGGTCTAGTAATAAGCAACTAGACAGGGAAATGTTTTAGAAGCAACAAGATCTATAAAATTTTAAGAATAAATTTTGTGAACAAGGCCAGGATTTATCTGAAGAAAACCAAGATTCTTATTGGTACATTTTTTAAAAAATAGCTAAGCATTGAATTTATTTTCATCACTATTCAAAGTGCTTTACGTGTATTAACTCATTTAACCTTCCCAGAAACCCTGGAAGGTTATCATTATACTCATTTCATGAATAAGATAACTGAGATATAGAGAGATTAAGTAACTTGCCAAAGTTCATCCAGCTTGCAAGTGATAGAGCGAATATTTGAAATCAGGGCCGAAAAAATAGAAACACGTACCCTGTTCTTCCATGGGATTGCTTAATATAAAAATATCTTTCTAAAATGTAAGTGCAATCATGCCACTTTCCTACTTCAAGCTCTTTATTCACTGTCTGCTGCTCTTAGGATGAAGTCAAACCCTTAAGTATGATCTAAACTTCCAAAATATTTCTCCAATACACCCCTTCTGTACATCACTATTATTACTGTCCTAGTTCAGATCCTCATCATCCACTTATCCATCCATCCATCCATCCATCCATCCATCCATCCATCCATCCATCCATTCAACAAATGGATAATCTTGGTGGCATTGTAGAGAGCAGATCTGAGAGGGCCAGAGGAGACAACAGTAAGCCCATTTGTGAGACTGTCATAGAACAGGCAGAAAATGATGAGAAGTCTAGGGGAAGATATATTTGAAATATATTTAAAGGAAAAAAAATGACAGCACTTAAAGGCTAATTGGGTGTGAAAATTGACGGAGTTGTTCCACTCCAGTTTGGTTCCCAGGATTCTAATTTAGATGATTGGTAAATACTTTCAAGGCCTTTACCTTGTCAGAGAGGATAGAGTCAATGACTGAAGCTTACTCTAGAGTCCTTTAACCAGACTGATATTAATCTATTAGTAAATATTCTTTGGTAACATCAAAAGGTCCAGTACTCCTTTATCAGCTTCAGAGCTTATACTTTGAAAGTCTAAGAAGAAAAACATAACAGTTGAGAAATTTACAGGTGTGAGAATTGGTTTGAGGTAATTGTTAGAGTCTGGTATAGAGCTGCCTGGGCCTCAGTTTAATCTCAGCTTACCACTTACCATTTCTATGTAACCTCTCTGTAACTCAGTTTCCCCAACAGCAAAGGGAAGGTAAAGCATTACTATGGTACGGGGTTTTGTAAAGATTCAATGAGACAATGTATGTAAAGCCTTAGCAAAATACCTGGCACATAGTTGAAAATTCCCCAAATGCTAGCCATTATTTTTTTTATAACTGATTAAAATCTTTCCTTTTTTACATTTCCTAAAATAAAGCAATAAAGCCAGACTACTATATAAAGAGAGTGTCAAGGTAATTTTGCGTGTGTTAAGATGATAAGCATGGATACTGTGCAATTGATTCCTGTTAGTTATTTCTTACATGTTAGAAATAACTAAAGTTAGAGAAGTTTTTATGGTGGTAAAATATACATAACATGAAATTTACCATTTTAACCATTTTTAAGTGTACAGTTCAGTGGCATTAAGTACACTCACATTGTTATGCAACCATCACTACTCTCCATCTCCTAGAACTTTTTCATCATCCCCAACTGTCAGAGAATTTTAACCATCACCCTCTCCTGAGTTTCAAAGAGATACTTGTAAACGCACTTTGCCTTTTTGGAGATACTGCAAGTATTAAGAGATAACATATTCTAAGTTTGGTCTGCCTTCCAAATGTTTGATGTCTTTCTGATTTTATGATTCAAAGGTATTGATTTTGACTTCCCAGTTCCCTCCACGGTCCTAGAGACATGGAGTGACCTGGATGTTTGATATGTTTTAGATAGCTCATTTGATTTATATATCACAGCTGAGAAGGTATTTCTCACACTTCTTCCCCAATCCTAGGGTCATCAAGCCCTAGCTCTGCTCATAAACACATCTTCCCAAGACAAATGTGGTCAGCCCCTCTTGTACTCTACTCTTTTGCCAACCAGAAAAGGGGGCAGCTCTGAATCCCAGGATTGTTCCCTCAGCTCTTTTGGAAAGATGTATTATAAAATTTTCTATGCTCTTCTGTCATTTATTTTGTCTACTCTTTGCATTCCCTATCCTACAACTGCCCATCATCTCAGGAGAAAGGAGCTACTGGGACCATGTTGTCTAATCCTAGACTATTCCTTAATAGATCAAATGGACCTGAACCTTAGGAACAAATTCAGAAAAATTCTCAACCATTATCTTTTCAGATAGTTTTTCTTTGCCATTCTCTCTATTCTTTCCTTCTGGCGTTATTCTCTAACTAGGTGTTTTTAGACTTTGTCACTTTATCGTCAATATCTATTTTTCTTCATATTTTCTATCCTCTCTCTCTGTGCAGCATTCTCGTAATTCCTTCTGATCTTTCAGTTCACTCTTTCTATCTTCTGTTATGTCTAAACTGCTGTTTCCCATGTCCACTCAATTTCTATTTTATTTTTTATTTTTATTTATTTATTTATTTATTTAGTGAGGAAGATTGGCCCTGAGCTGACACCTGTTGCCAATCTTCCTCTTTTTGCTTGAGGAATAGTGGCCTTGAGCTAACATCTGTGCCCATCTTCCTCTATTTTGTATGTGGGATGTCACCACAGCATGGCTTGATGAGTGGTGTAGGTCTGCCCCCGGGGATCCAAACCTGCAAACCCCAGGCCTTTGAAGCAGAGTGCACTGATCTTAACCACTCCGCCACTGGGCTGGCCCCCTGAATTTCTATTTTAAATGACCATATTTTTCATTTCTAGCACTTTCACTTTTCTGTCTTTTTCAAATTGGCTTTATGTCTTTACATAATCTTCTGATCATTTTTCGTACTTTTGATACTCTATTTTATTACTTTAAATATTTATTTTAAATTCTGGTTTTGTAATTCCAATATCTTTGTTAGAAGGTCTGATTCTGCCATCTGTTGCTTCTGCTGATTATTCACACTCACAATGGCTTGTTTCTTCATGGTTTGCCACTTCTAACATAAATTCATATTCCTTGGAACTTTGTCAGTAGGAATTATTTGAATCTTGGGTTTAGAGTATGTTCCTCAAAGATTTGGGTTTGTTTTTGCCTGACTCCTGGCAGGCAAAAACCAGGTAGCATTTTTTAGTTTGGGCTTTTTTCAAGTCACACAAGAGTGTGTCCCTAAATTCTGGCCCTAAACTCCTATGAATGTGGGTTTGTGGTTAGGAATTTTCCTTTATTTCCCTTCTATTCAAAGCTGAGGTTGTTTTAGGTGGTATTCTTATTCTCTGTATATATAGGAAAAACTGAACATGAGTTTTCCTTTTTCAGGTTCCTGGCCTTATGTGGGGGTCTCTGTTTCAACTGCCCCTTTTCTGGGTCCTCCACTACCCTTCTCCTGTATGCTTCACATGGCCTAGGAATGTCCTGGTTTTAGGACAACAAATGTTCCCTATAGACAAGTGCCTCCTATCTCTATGAATTTGCTTTTTCTTGCCATTTATAGCCTTAGAATTTTTCTCGTTTTCCCAATGGCTTAGCTATTCACTATAAAAAGACAGTTTCTATATTTATGTAGTGATTTTGAGGGTCCAGTCCTGGGAGGTATTTTCTGGACATCCAGCTCTCCATGTTGCCTAAAACAGGCGTGCTCGTTTTAATATGGCATGATCTTCCCCAATATCATCCCCCGTCAAAATAGTTGTCCTCTAGAGTATCCTAGGGGTCCTGTTCATGAGTGATCCACAGCAAGGGCCTCAAGTTCATACTGGCCAAATTGTTTAATTACTGCGTTGCTGTCTCTATAATTAGTAACCCTTTAGAGATTATGTCTGTGCTTGGTGACCATTGCTGATACCCTCACTCTATTCCTGGGGACAAAAGAATGCAACACCTCCCCTTTTTTTTAAAAACAAACTCTGGCCAATTTTCTTAATAAAAATTTCATGATTTACTTTTTACCAGTTTTTTCTGGCCTGCTTCTATTGATATCAGAATCACCTGGATCAATGATAGCCAATATGCATACTCTGGAGTATTTTCCACACACTGTGCAGTATTCAATATTATTGCCACTGTAGTGATGGACACCGGTTTTGGCCAACATGGCCTAGTGCTCTATTTCAGATTGCCTCAACTCTGGGCAGTTTTTGGTGAGGATGACCAGTTTCACTTTGCCTTGTCTGATCATTCTCTAGCTACGCCTTCTGGAGCATGCACAGACTCTGTCCATTTCCCCACTTCTAGCTGAAGCCTGGAGATACTGGAAATAGAATCCAAGTTAAGCTACCACTAGAAGTAGCACCGAAGGGCCCAAACCTAACTTTATAATTCTTCACCAGGTAGGCTCTCTACCTAACCTGGACCTACAACTATGTGCTAGAGACCCTTTCATCCTCTACCACTGGGCGTATCCCATCATTTCCCTTCCTCGGAATTTAATCCAAAGTGCGCATTAGGGCCGGCCCCGTGGCTTAGTGGTTAAGTGCGCGCGCTCAGCTGCCGGCGGCCCGGGTTCAGATCCCGGGTGCGCACCGACGCACCGCTCCTCCGGCCATGCTGAGGCCGCGTCCCACATACAGCAACTAGAAGGATGTGCAGCTATGACAGACAACTATCTACTGGGGCTTTGGGGGAAAAATAAATAAAATCTTTAAAAAAAAAAAAAACAGCAAAGTGCGCGTTAGCGGCCTCGCCTTTACAACCCTTCTACTCCCATATTTCACATCTACCTAATGCCTGCCCTATTGCCTACTCTAGGATTTATCTCTTTAAAGGATAATTGATACGAGAATATCTATTCTGATCAGGGGAAAACCCTTGCTTCTTTTGAGAGTGAAATCTTGCTACGTCAGTTCCCAAGACAATGAGAGAGTCACCACATATTCTAAAGCCAGGCATTCCATATTAAAGAGCTCCTGCATCTCCCTATGTATGATACAAAAACAATTGGGTCCAGGCTGTGCTGGGCCAGGCACAGTGCAGCTCCTTTCCCCAGTCTGCTCTTTAGCATGAGGTAAGAGAAGGTCAGCCCTGCATGGCCACCTGCCATAGCTGAGCTCTGCTTCTTAAATATGGACAAGGACGTACACACTTTCCTAAGAAGAGGTAATCTAATTTTGAGAGCTAGGACTGTCTGTGTCTGTATTTAGAAGAAAAAACATCATTCTTTTACTACACAAGGCACCATGAATTTGAAAAGATTATTTTGCATTTGTGATGGTTAGATTTATGTGTCAACTTGGCTGGCCCATAGGACCCAGATATTTGGTCAAACATTTCTCTGGATGTTTCCATAAGGGTGTTTTTGTATGAGATTTACATTTAAATCTGTAGACTTTGAGTAAAGCAGATTGCCCTTCATAATGAGGTTGGGTCTCATCCAATCAGATGAGGGCCTGAATAGAACAAAAGACTGACCTCCCTTGAATGAGAAGGAACTCTGCAGCAGATGCCTTTAGCCTTGGGTTGCAACATCAGTTCTTCCTCGGTCTCCAGCCTGCTGGCCCATCTTACAGATATGGATTTGTCAGTCTCCATTATCACACAAACCAATTCCTTAAAATAAATGTCTTTATATTTGGTTCTGTTTCTTTGGAGAACCCTTACTACTACAGTGTTTGGAAACGGGAGATTCAACTTATGGCTGGAATTATTTGCATTTTGGAGACTCCCCTCTCTAGGATTCTAGAATCCTCTCTCTTGGCTTTTTACCACACTAGTCACCCTTTTCTAGTCACCTCTGTAAGTCCCATTTCCTCTACCTGCTCTCTTGATGTCAGATCTCTTCTAAGGGCATTGTCATGGTTGGTCTTCTAAACTCCCTCTACTCTCTCTCCTAGGAGATCTCATTTAATCCATGGCTACGTGTTGAGGATGCTCCAATCTATATCTCAAACTTTAATCTTTTCTCTGAGTTCTAGACATACACATCTAACTCCCTACTAGAAAACTCCACCTGGATATCTCACAGACCTCTCAAACCTAACTTTGCCAAACTTCTCTAGCTTAACTTTTTTTCCTCCCAGACAAATTAAGTGCCACTTTGTTATCCATTCTTGGGCAAGTTATGTAATCTTTCTAGGCCTTAGGATCCTGGTCCATAAAATAACGAGAATAATAGTGTGAGAATTAAAATAGCCAACACGTGTGAAAACACAACACAGTGCTTAGCATGTGTCATATATTAGCTGTTGCTCCTTTTTATTTTATTTATTTTTTTCTTGAATGTCCTGAAACTAGACTATAAACTCCATGAGGTCAGGAATTTTTTTCTGTAGAGCCCAGAACAGTGCCTTCCACATGACAGATGCTCATTAAATATTTGATGAATGAATGGAAGAAGGAATATACCACTACTGGAAGCTAGGATTTATCTTTAATTTTACCCTTCCTTTCACTGCTCTACCAAGCCAATACATCAGTGAGAACTGTTAATTCTACTTCCAAAATACATCTTAAGTCTGTTTCACTAGTACTTCCTACTCCAGAAAACCATTATCACTTTGCTAGACTATAATAGCCTAGCTTTGTTGGGATTTGTTGTTTCCCGTTTATTGAACATGCTGTAGTTGGGCAAATATTAGGGGAAAAGGGAGGTAGATGAGGAAGGTCAAGGCTGAAGGGCCCTTCTGACTAGAAGGAGAACATGGTGCCCACAGGAGTCCATGATGGGCACTCCTCACTCTAGGTGGTAGCTGATTCCCTGCTCTCTGGGACCAGGGTTTGGCCAGAACCTCCATGTCACATTCAGAGCTGAGGCTATGTTTGGTGGTGCTTTGGAAGGAGGTCTGTCCAGGGAGCTGCTCCAGGTGCTGCATCATGGTTTGCCTCTGGTCTCTGCCACGTCCTGGTTCCCTGAATGCTGCCCCGGTGAGTCCTAGTTGCCAGTCCTGTGGAGACTGAGATAAGAGCCACATCTCTTGCTCTGGTGATTGCGGCTGTGGCAACAAGCCACCAATGCAGGGCAGCCTAAAGCAGTGGGTGAAGTGACAGCCATCAGAGCATGTCCTGGAGGCCACGGGAAGCTAAGAGGACTGGGCTCTGGTCCTGGGGTGGGTGCTGAGAACAACTGCCCTAGGTATTCTGTGGTTTTGTATCTTCTTCTCTGGGCCTTTCTGTTTCGTCTTTTCAGAGTCAAAAGCACCTCTCAAGCAGCTAATGCCGCCAGCCCCAAAGAGAATGTTCCTGTAATTCGCCTTCCTTAATGCAGCTTCCAGGTGGAGAGAAGGTGGAGGGAGAGTGAGAGAGAAGACGAGATCTTGAATAGTCTCTCTATTCCTCCTTCTGGAAGTTTTATCTCATAATCTTGGAATACCTGGTGAGGGAAGATGGGAAAGAAATAAGTCTTCCATTTGGTGCTAAATTATTTCTTGGACTGAACTAGAGTGAGAACAGTGGAGTACAGTCTTGCCCTAATTCTTGGGATATAATGACTTTAAACATTCTGCCTCTAAGTCTGATATCATAAAATTGCTTAAACAGCTTGCAAACACTTTACCCAAGAGTGTATGTGGGCAAGAGCGTCTCAAGGGAAGATGCCTCCCATCTGACAATCAGGTGTGTTTGCCTCTGCGGAAGGTCACTGAGTAAGCTGTAGTTGAATCTAATAAAATTAGCACTTGCTTTAAACCTATGGTATGCTCACTATGGTAACAAATATCAAGAGGATATAAGGATGCATTTTCCATTGTTGCTGGAGAGATGGGAGGTATAGACTGGGAAAAACCTACGTGATGAAAAGAATATGGTTGCATAATTTATTAAGGTATTAAACTGTGACTTTCTCTCCTACACTCTATGCTCATCAAATATTTCTTTCGGTACTCTAAAGCTTCATCCTTCCAGGAATCACTTACTGACAAACAAATGTTGAAAATTATTTCATGATAGGCATGATTAGGTGACCTAGTGTTACAGAAAAATTCCAGGGTATGTTTGATGAGCCAGTTTTTCCTTTGTGAGAGCTAGATTAATTATGCTATAGGCTGGGAAAGAGAATATGATAGAAGGGATCCTAAGGACTTGAGAGCTGTGAGAGAGAAGCTGTGAAGTCTGCCTGAGCCAGTTCCATCCCTTGCCAGCACCAGGAGCCGAATGGATGCTGAGCCAGGAAAAAGATGTTGATTAAGACTAGCTATAAACCACAGGGGCTCAGCCTGTAGTGAAAGAGTGACCTGTACCCTAAGATTCTGCTTTAGCTCTGTCTGATTCATCAGTGGGAATGCCCTTTCTTCCATCCAGGTCCCTGGAAACTTCTAGATTAGCAGGTGGGGTGTTTGGACACTTTATAAGGTGTTAGTAGCCTGAGGTCTTTGCTCCTGCCCAAAGGGAAACTATTCATAACGCGTTTGAAATCTCCTCCTGAGCCAGGAAAGTGATGGAATACACCACATGGGTAGTAAGTTCTCGGGGGGGAATATTAGGTGGGTAAGAGAAACATAAAAAGATCTGACTTGGGCCTTTAATGGTGATTTTGACCATGCCTTGTGTGGCTGCAGCCTGAGTCTCCATAGGTTGAGTAAAACAGATCTGAATAACCATCCAAGAGTCGGAAGAAAGGGTTCTGAATTCTAATCTGACACTTACAAGGCGTGAGATCTTTGGCAATTCACTCAACTTTCTGGGATCAACTTCCTTCTCTATTAGACGTGGCTAAGTATTTTAAAAATTTTATTTGTGAAATCACTTTGGAAACTGGAAAGCTATATAAATATTAGTTTTTAGTAATTCTTTCTTCACCTGTAAAATGAGGATAAGAATAATATCTGTGCTTAATGGTTGTTGTGAATGTTACGTAAATAAAGCAACAAGAAATATTTTAAGTGCTTTGTATCTAGAAGAGCTTTTATTTTTTTAAAGTGCATTGATGGATTTAATTAATTTGTTGCTTTAAACAGCAAAGTAGTTTTTGGCCTAACTTCCTCTTTCCTACCTCTTGTCTTCCACCACCCCCATCTTTCCAGTACTAGGATTTAATAATATTTTGCCTGCTCCATACGGTTAATGATAGAGACTCTGTTTTGCTTATGTAAGTATAGTTATAGGAGATAAATCCTTTCTCTTGGTGACTGAATCTTACCTAAGTATGAATTAACACATCTTCATGGATATTTCCCCTCCTGGCATTATTATATTCATGAATAAAAGCTATCCCTTGGGTTGTGGTTTCTTGAACCATCATTACCATACCCCATCTATTTCACTGAAATGCACAGTGAAAGTTCCTAAGGCAACTCTCTACTCAAATTGTGCTAAATTCTATCGAGCACCTCTTTAGGCCAAAATAACCCCACTCCTTCATTTATCTTTTAAGCGGCAGAGGCTCCTGGAATTTGCCTTCATCTTTCCGATGCAGATGTTCCCTGGAGGAAATAGTCACACCTCCTATAACACGATGAATAAATAATGATCAAACCACTGAGGGACAATGTAGTCACTCACCACATTGATACTATTTAGTAGGTTACAAGCATTTTGTTAAAAACTTCATCTGCATAGCGTAACACAAAGTATTACATTCTAGTTTTTCAAAAATGTCTTATAGATAGTTACAATCTTAGTTGCAGATTTAATAACTTTGTAGACAAAAAAATCACATAATTTAAGATAATTTGCATGTTCTCCTTGGATCCATATTAACGCATTTTATTTTTACAAAGTTATTGTCACTATATATAGAGTCTCTAATGCTCTTTTTTCACTCGTGTATATTTTCACGAAGCAAAGTCCACATACTTTTTTTTTTGTTTGATGTCGTTTCATCTCATAACTTGCTTAATCATTCCCCTATTGTGGGCCAGTTGTATCAAAACAGTTTGTCTGGATATAAAAGTCAGCTCTCTTTATTCGTTGTTAATCTCTCCATTTTCAAATTGTTGAAATGGTTCTCCCCAACTGATTCACATCTAAATTGCTTTTGGAGATTTTTAAAATAAAGAGGTTATTTTGTACCATGCCAGACGTACTGAACAGAATCTGTGGGGATTCCAGCTTGTGAATTTTGAAAAAGCTCTTCAGCTGATTTTCATGGAGAAAGAAGTATATTCTGTGTGGATACAGCTAAAATCAGCTCCAGAATGTCCATTATCTTCTCTAGCTAATGTTTACACACACACACACACACACAGGCATGCACCAATTTAATTTAATTTTTGTGTAATTCTACCTGTGATGGACATAGTCAGATCTAGCATGACATCACATACTGTTTTATGTGTGTCCCTGCCAGTGTCCTGGGTTTATGTGCTTCATATCGCCTCAACTGGAGAATCAACCATTGAAAACAAAGTTTCTGTGTCCTCTATATCCCCAGAGTACTCAGTACAGAGCTGAATGTACAGTGGGCACCATGGTAAAATATTCCTTTGATATTTAACTACCTCCTTCGTGACACCACTCTACTGTCTTCTCCATCCCTGGCCCTTTGTATGGAGCCAACTCACCCACTTATTTTGTGAAGCAGGTGGTGGAAAACAGCTCTAGTCTCAGGTGTTTACCCAGGCTCACCCTGACCTGCTCATTCAACCCTGTCTCTAGTTGAATGAGCTCAGCTCCCACAACTCCTTGTTTTGTTTTCAGGGTTCTTGGAGATTCATTCATTCATTCGAACATTTACTGAGTCCCCATGTGTCTATGCCAGATACTGAGGACATAAAGGCTAATATCCTATCCTATTTGCCAGCAAGGATCTGGTCATCTGGTGGTAGCTCTGGGTAAGTGTTCCTTCCCCAGAGAAAGAAGTCAGCCAGCCAGTCCCGGCTCTAGTGGGGTAGGAGGTTACACTGCCTTCACTACCATGCTCTAGCTCACATTATATTTCTAAAATACTTGAAATTTTTGAAATATAGCTACATTTTTTTTGTGCAACGTGTATTGATTTATGCATTAATCTTGTCTCCCAGGAAGGCTGTAAGCTCTTTGGAGGAAAAAAAATGTTATTTGTTTTCTCTGAAACACACTCAAAAACACACTCAAAAGACATATAATGTATTGATTTATTGTAAATAAGAGATGGATTGGCTATGAGACTTGGCTCATATTCCTAAATGGTTTGACTTGTCTTTTACTGCTTTACACTTCCCTCTCCACTTAGCCTACACTCCTGGACTCATCAATTTGACCACAATCTTTCAGCACCTTCCACTCATTTGGCTCCTTGACTTGTTCAGCAGACATGCTATCTTGGAACCAATCAACCACTAGCTTTTTCTGCTGTTACTCCCTGGTGGCTGAGCCCCTTGGAGAAAAATCATACAATGGTAAAGATGAGGACCCCAGCAAACCCTTGATTTCCATCTTCAGCTGGGCCGCAACTCTGCTTGGCACACACTTCTTTTATGTCTCTTTCATCAGTGCTTCCTCCTGTTCCCTAGGGAAGCTCTTCCAAGTCTACAGTTCTTTCCTGAGGCCCTCTTCCCTACCACCTCCTCCTTCTCTCTCTGATGATAAACTGCACAGAGAGAATAGAGGCCTTATGAACATATTCCTTCCCTCCCTGCCTGCTTTATCTCTAACAACTCTCATCCTCAATTTCTCCCTCTTGTTTGAAAGGAAGTAACTCCTTGCCTCTTCCCTTTCCTCTTGTTTAAGGCTGATCCCTCCACCTATGCCCTTGATCCTCTCCCCTCTTGCCTATTCAGACTCTTGCTCCGTCAGTTAATCAGCTTCTTTCCTGACCCATTAACCCCTCCCTCTCAACTGGATGTTTCCCTTCAGCATAAAATAAGATACAAATATCTTCTACTTTGAAAACAGTTCTATTTCTCTCTCTTGCCACAGGATGATAGATTGGACTTTTTGACTCAGGAAACCTGATAGATGTTAAATCCTAGAGTGAACTGTGAGACAGACCTAGACCTGGTTAGGTGACTGATTTTCACCCAAGGTATAAAGATGGGATCAGCCAAAATGGGGAGAGCTTCCATGGAGCTCACAGGAGTCCAAGAGCCAAGCCAAACGGAGCAAACTGCGTGGAGGAGCCCTGACTCCAGCTCTCAGACTGGAGCCTGAATCCCACAAGTTCAGCTTGGCCCAGCCAATTTGCAGCTGGGCTGAATACCTGTGAACAATAATTTGGGGGTTGTTGGTCATGCAGCATTATTGCAGCAATAGCTGACTAATACAAGCTGGCACTTAAAAAAGTGGCAGCAAGAGTCAAAAGGTAGAGAAGAGATGGGCTCCTCTTCCTTTTCTGCCCAGAAGGTCATATTTCTGCCACGCTTCTGGTTGCAAAGAGAAAAAATTCCTCTACCACAATAATGATTATCTTAATGCTTTGAAGTCCTTTCTTTCTAGTTTGCTTTCTTTGCCTTCATCTTCCTTCTCTCCTTTTCTTCCTTCCTTCTTTCATTCTTTACCTCTTTTATCTCCTTTCACTATTGAGCTCTTACATTTTCTTGGGCACTAGGAATACAAGACAAATAAGATCCATCTTCTGGTTTAAATGGAGAGGACTGTAAACAAATAATTGATCTGCTCAGAAGAGACCCTGTAATAAAGTTGTATAGAGAAGGTAGTTTTATATAGAAGGTAGAGAAAAAGGGAGAGGTCAGCTCTGGGTGTCACTGCTAACAGTCACCTAACACCTGTGACAGGCCCTGCACTAGGAGCAGAGTTGAACAAGCACACAGTCCCTGCCCTTCCTCCCTTCCTTCGAGCTTTTTGGAATGTAATAGTTCACTTCTGTGATTGTATCACACTCTCTCTACTCTGGGTTCTTCACACACGTACTCTCTCTTCTGGAAATCTTCTCTTCCTCTTCACCTACCTGCCAACCTTGAGTCCTTTATAAGGGAGGCCTCCTCTGCATGCAGGAGTGGGTTGGACTCCCTTTCTAGATGCATTCATAGCACTTGATATGCGTCTTACTGTAACGTGTCATACTTGAGTTACTAGTTAGATGTCTGTTTTCCTTGCTAGTCAGCTAGTCCAAACCAAATCTGTCTGGTTTACTGCCTAATCTCCAGCAATTCACTTAGTATAGGGCAGTAAATATTAAGTGAATTGGATGGAACTGAATTGCTAAAGGTTTGTTATGTGTGTGAGACAATAGGCCTGAGGGCAGGAAGAGGTTTTGCAGAAAGTACATAAATGATCAGATCACTTCCTAGGCCCTCAACAAAATATCCAGATTGCTAAACAAATACCCAAATTGCTACCTAAGTGGATCCTTGCAGTTGGTAAAAAAGAAAGAGAAATCCAATTTGAGTCTCCAAGGAGCTGAGCAGCGCTTTGCATTGCCGAGAACTCTCCAAGAGCTAGAAAATTCCACTCATGAGCAGCTGGCCTTTCTCATGGCTCATGACGCAGGCAGTGTTTGGTGATAACATTTCCTGAAATTGATGCGCATCTGCTGTGTGTGTGGCTCAGGGACCTTGTCTTATTCATAGGAATACAAACCCCCTGGAAGTGTAGCTTGGCCTCTGAATCCCACTTATCTTGGAAGGTGAGGATACGGGAGGCTGCATGGGAGGCCACGCGCTCCACGCATGCCTTGCCGGGGGCCTAGGGCTGCAGGAATGCAGCATGAGGCCCTTCCTGCTCCTATACCGCCCTTCGTCTTACTGTTGAGAGACTGCTGCTTGCGCTCTGTTCTTGGTATGGTGAAATCATTCAGTTCCTTCTCTTCTCTGTTTGCTGCAAACAATAAAAATATGAAAATTTTTACCTCCTAGAACCAGACATCCCACAGTATCTATTTGGCAATTTGAAAAGATTGCTCAGAACGAAAAGGAATATTTGGTGCCCACAAATTCACCTCCACATCCTCAATAAGTTTTCAGTCATCATAGGCACGTGGCCATGTGGACTCATGCATCAGGAGGAACACCATGGCAGGGTTTTCTTAAAACCAACTTCCCATCACAAGATTGAAGAGCGTAGCTTTACTCATCCAACAGGAGTGGGCAAACGCTGCCGGCTTTTGTGGAGCCTTCAAGCTAAGAATAATTTTTGCATTTTTAATTGATCGAGAAAAAATCAACAGAAGAATAGTATTTCTCAAAAGAGAAAATTTGATGAAAATGAAATTTCAGTGTCCATATATAAAGTTTTATGAGAACACAGCCATGCCCATTTGTTGAGAGTTTAATTAGGGCTGCTTTCCTGCTACAGGAGCAGAGTTGAATGGCAGTGACAGAGACTGGATACGGTTGGCAAAGCCTAAAATATTTACTGTCTTGCCTTTTACAGAAAAAGTTTTCTGACCCCTGCATTGGAGCGATATGGATTTTTTAATTGACCCATCCTAAATTTATGAGAAACTTGCTCAAGGGCCCATTTTTTGTGTTTCCAGTACACTGAACTTATGTTCACCCTCTGAAGAAAGATATGTGGCTGCAAATGACTGTTTGCCACCGGTACTTCTCCACCCTCCTTTATGTTATGGGTGTGCGTGTGAAAATCACTACCCAGAGAACAGAGCTGACTGAGCAGGGACCACATCATGATTCAGCAGAGGAGGTAAGACTAGTGTGTAGATCTACTGCCCACATGTCTAGTGAGGCCTTCTTCTTTTAATAGGGTCCTGGGTACTCAACAAAACCCAAGGAGTTCTTTTTTTCCTTCTTTTTTTTGTGAGGAAGATTAGCCCTGAGCTAACATCCTATGCCAACCCTCCTCTTTTTGCTGGGGAAGATTGGACCTGGGCTAACATCCGCCCCCATCTTCCTCTACTTTATATGGGACGCCGCCACAGCATGGCTTGACAAGTGATGCGTCAGTGCACGCCCAGGATCCGAACCTGCGAACCCCGGGCCGCTGAAGCGGAGCGCGCGCACTTAACTGCTACGCCACCAGGCCGGTCCCTTTTTTATCTTCTTTAAAGGGATTCACACCTCTGGGAAGAATGATTAAGCAATCCAGATTGTCTCAATGCATCTTCAGTAGGTCTTGTTGCCTTCCACTGGTCTTGAGCCCTGTTCTTTCCTCTCCTATGGCACCCATGCACAGAATTTTGACTGTTTGCTTCTCTGTATCTTCTAGACTGTGAGTTCCTTGAGGGCAGGTTATTTATATCTCTGTTATGAGCATCTGGAAAGGGCTAGGCACATGGCAGATGGACACAAAATATCCAAGGAATCAACAAAGTCTGTCATGCTTCTCACATAGAGTTACAAGTCTGGGGAGTCTGTGGTGGTGTGACAGGAAGTACGTGTATCTACAGATTAAGCATGACCTAGCTTTCTCAAGTATTGATATCTATCTTATATTGACATCTATATCAATACCAGTATTGAATACTATCAAGTATTGATAGTACTTGAAGATCTGTGGTAGAAATAATGATTTTTATATTTAAGCAGCATGGCTAGGTTACAGAGTAAGAACTCAGAATGTTTAAAGATGGAGCACAGACTTCAAAGAACTTGACCTGCCTGTGGTGGCCATTTGGGGGCTCTGCCTCAGGGCCCTGGAGTGGGGAGGGGGGTGGTATGTACAAATTCATTCTCTCCTGCAGTTAGAGGTCTTTGGGTAGAATTGTCAGAGACAGACTAAAATACTACATTTTCTCAATTCCTGAACACAGCAATATTAACAGTGGGGTCTGAGGCAGTCAAATCAAACCTGGTTTGTGCAGGAGGCAGGAAGGTGGAAGAGAGAGGCTCTTGATAATACATCCTGACTCCATCGGTACTTAGGAATGTACCATATCCTTTGTCAGGGATCCTCAGACATAGATGTGGATCTTTAGGCCAAGGAGTCCTTTGAGAATCTGCTAAAAGCTATGGACTCTAAGAAATTGCACTGTCTATCAACTTGAGAGTAGAAGAATGCAACTTTAACTTAATGTTTATTATAATCTTCTTTACTGCCAGGTGGGGGGAAGTTAATCTCAATCAATTTAGGGTTATTCCCTGGGAGTGTGACTAAGGCCTTAGTTATACGGGGAAGGGTGACATGAGAGTTAGTGTTTAGTGGGGCATATGGTCTAAGTTGTTATCCTAGGTGACATTGTCCTTGATTCCTTCTGGTCTTCAGTGGTTTTTCCAGCAAGTCTCTCTTATCCTGTCCCTCACAAGCAGTCTGTCACTCTTGCCTATCCTTCTTTTTCTCTATGCTAATCCTTTTGTTCCTTTTAGGTTCTTTTTGCTCCTCTCCTGAAGCATTGGGCAGCTAGAGTCTGGATGGAGCCAGTTACAGTCCTTCTTACTTCCCGGTTAGTCTTGGGGCACTTTGGAGATCATGAACACATCCCAAATTTTTGCATACAATTCCATCTTGTCCTTGGATCTCAGGTTAATAGCCCCTGCCCAAGTCTAAGTCTAAAAAAGGAGGTCTATTATGTTCAGAGTGAATAGAGGTGAGGAAGAGGGAACGGGATGAA